CCAATATGACCATTGAAATCCCCTCCTATGAATAACCTCTCAGAAGGCGGAATACTACGAACAGTGTCATCCAACCCTTCCCAAAAATGCCTTTTAATCTCTTCATCACAACCTACTTGCGGTGCGTACGCGCTAACGACGTTTAAAGTACACTCACCCACCACCAATTTAATAGTCATTAGTCTATCATTCACACGCCTGACCTCTACCACCGACTCCCTAAGATGGCTATCTACTAGGATACCCACTCCATTCTTACCCCTCACGACTCCAGAGTACCACAACTTATACCCATCCGCGTTTCTCGCCCTCGATCCGACCCACCTAGTCTCCTGGACACACGCTATATTAATCTTCCTCTTCTGAAGGATCTTCGCCAACTCTATAGACTTACTCGTTAGCGAACCTATGTTCCATGACCCGATTCTCAACCTATAGGCTCCCTTTCCCCCTCTACCTCCCCTGCCTCCCGACCCACTCCCTGACCCCGGGCCCACTCTTTGCCCCACACTCTGCCCCACCTGAGGACATGCCTTTAATCTATCATCCCAGACTGCCGCCACTACACCTACGACAGATCTACAAAAGACTCGCTAGTGCACAACGGACAACAAATCAAACTAGAAGGAAACAAGTGATTACCTGTACACCTATTGAATAATTTAACTATTGTGATATAAAGTAACATCAATTTAGCTAACACCAAAAGGAAAACAGTAGAACGGGAGGTACCAATTCCCGAGAACCAAACCTGTGTTGATTTGCAGCCCTCGATATACTTGCAAGCTCACGCACCGCTTCCCACTGCCCTTTGCTGACGCTCGTCCAGGTTGCTCTCCTTTGCTAGTGCTCGTGCTCCCAACTTGTCTCCAACAACTTCGTGTACAAATCCAGATATTGTTGATCATGGTAATGCCCGTAAGCCGAATTCTGATTAGTTGGGAGATTTTGAGTTAGCACTGTTGATCCGTTCGCAGGCGTTGAAGTCCCCTCTATTATCTTATGTTCTTACTATTTAGTCTTCCAAACAATATTATATTTTGTTCAGATTTTGTATTTTGTATTCTATAGAGCTCATGCACTCGGCGACACCAGATTTTCAGATGGATTCATTTGTATTAACATTTTAACTTCAGATATTTATACCATTACACTTTTTGATACTATTCCTTATCATTATTGAAGTTTATTTTCACATATTTATTGTTGGCTTGCCTAACAAGAGGTGTTAGGTGCCATCACGGTTCCAAAGGAATTTTTGGGTCGTGACATCTAGCATTTAATTGGAGACATTTAATCAACATTCTGCTAGAACATTTTAACTTTTATTCTAGTAGCTATACAATAAACATTAAAGGCCTGAGATGTAAACTCACCAGCATTATCAAGACGAATTGTCTTAATTGCATAATTTGGAAATTATACTTTTAACCTTATTATGTGGGCCAACAATCTCGCAAATGCCATTTTATGAGTTGACAATAAGCACGCATGCGACCATCTTGTAGATGCATCAATAAGGACCACAAAATACTTGAATATTCCACATGGAGGGTGTATAGGCCTACATATATCACCTTGTATACGTTCTAGAAATGCAGGGCATTTAATCCCAACATGTAAGGACCCAATAGGTTATTTTGAATGCTAACTTTCTGTTTTGTGTTTTGAGACTTCTTATAACTCAATTTGATGATTTGTGACTTGCATGCGTAATCCTTGTCAATTTTCGAAAAGTTTATATATGAAGTTTTGTAAAAAAAAAAGTGATTTTTGACTTTTAAAATGACTAGAGTTGGCCACGCTCAATGTCTTTGGTAAACGACCTCGAATCCGTATTTTGCCAATTTCGGTAGGTTCCTATGATGGTTTTGCACTTGTACGCATGTTCGGTTGGGGTCTCGGATGACCCGAGACCGTTTCAGCGTATTATGTGAAAAGTTGGAAAGATGAGTTTTGAACTTGAAAATCTTGAATTTTAATAATCGATTCTTGATTTTAGATGTTATATAGGTGATTTGATCTTGCGAGCAAGTTTGCATGGTCCCGGGTGATCCGAAGTTTTTTTTAAATTTATTTTTTAAATTCTAAAAATATTTTATTGTTATAGGTTGGGCCCAAAGTATAATAAGTGAGACATTAAAGTCTAAAGATAAAGTCTCAATCTTTATCTTAAGCATTCATTAAGCAAGAAGGTCAATCTTATAATAATTAAAATTTGAAGATTAATTTGCAATTCTAAGTTTAAAAATGGGTCAGGCGGCCAAGGGTAAATACTTATTCACACCGGGTGTTTACACCAAACTATATTAACTCACTATAGTTAATTAATTTAATTAGATGAGAATACATGTAATTTACTATGGTTAAATGATTGAAATTCATATACAAGACACATGTCATATATCTATTGATTTGGTATAAATATCCGATGCGGGTAAGTTTTTACCAGTCGCCAAGAGCCCCGGTAGCTACGTCTTAATCTTGAAGTAATTGGTGTCGAGGATATATTAGATTATACTAATAATATAATAATGTTTTACACTATAAATTCAATCGTAAATCAGCTTCTAAACTTAGCAGCCCCTGCACGTAAGTGATAATGTTTTATAAACATTTCGTTGTCCAATAATAATAACCCAAAGTTGTAGGCAACTTCAAGACGACATGCAAACAACAAAGAAGAGCAAAACCAGACAAAGTAAAGCTGTAACCAATAACCAAATCCCAAATTTCATTAAACAAATCCACCCCACAACTCAATGACTGTACGTTCTCATACATATCTATAAACATCCAAAGAATCAACAAATTGTTCACCTGAACACTAACATTTCATCAACAGCAAACATTAAACTATTGATTCTTTTTGTTTTTTTTCCCTTAAATTTCACAACTTTGTCTTCGCTCATATCTTTATCTGGGTGAACAAACAAGAAAACCCCTTGGAATTTTGCCATAAAAAATGGGGGAAAAGTTCAAAGCTTCAGCAGTTTCAGAGCTAACAATCCCACCTCGAGCCCCTAATTTTGAAGCATTTTTTGGCGGTGGAAATATGCCCTATTTTAGCCCAGGTCCAATGACACTTGTCTCCAGCTTCTTCTCGGAATCCGAATACCCGTCTTTCTCCCAGCTTCTTGCTGGAGCTATGGCTTCTCCACTAGCAAAACCACCGACTCTTTTCCCTGAAAATTCAACCGGAGAAGAGAATTGTAAAGAGGGGAATCAGAAGAATTTAGGGTATAAGCAGAATCAACCCATGAGTTTAATGTTGGCTCAAAATTCTCCTTTGTTTATGATTCCCACTGGTCTTACTCCTTCTGGATTGCTTAATTCACCTGGGTTTCTTTCCCCTCTTCAGGTAATTGACTTTACTGTTCATTTTCCAGAAGATAATCAAATATACTTCTTTGTTTGGTTCTGGAAAAAGCTTTAAAGCATGATTTTGGGGTTCTTGAAAATAGTGATTTTGTAACTTCATTAATTCAACTACATAATAAGTTTCTACTTCTGGAAAAGTGCGCTAGCTTTTAGTCAAAGGTGTAGTTTCGCAAGAGTCTTATATGTGAACTAAAAAAAGGGCAGCCCGGTCCACTAAGCTCCCGCGCACGGGAAAGGACCGGGCCACAAGGGTATTATTAGCAGTCTTGTATTTCTGCAAGAGGCTGTTTCTATGGCTCGAACCCGTGACGTCCTGGTCACATGACAACTTTATTAGTTACGCCAAGGCACCCCTTCAACTCTTATATGTGAACTACGAGCTAGAAATCACATGTCGAAGCTTTTCTTTTGGTTTGCACAAAGTTTGGGATTTGACCTTTAGTACAACAAAAGCTTCTATTTTGATTAATTTTAATATATACCTGAAGGGGAATAACATAATTATGAAGACATCCAACAAGTGGGCGTTTTCTTATTAAGAATGACTATTCCTACATAGGTGAGCATGAGATGAGAGTTAACTTGGTGAATGAGGATTGAGGATTCATATAACCGACCCAAACTTATTAGGGATTGAGGCCTAGTTGATGTTTTTGTTGTTATTCGTGCATAAGTGACAAAGAGTTTGTCACAGGGACAGATTGAGCTTTTAAGTTTGTGGGTGCGGAGTACCACTAATAGGTGATGATGGGTGCTGACTTGGCATATATGTTATAAAAAGTTTTCAACTTATATATATTTCGAGCCAGATAATGCCCGCACCCACAATGATGAATTCATGACTGTTTGTAATTGTTAGTGTTCCACATTATTTCAGGGAATAAATTGTTGTTTCCTCATATGGTCTTGGACTCTTGGATAATTCTGGCCTCATGAGTTAAACTTTTGTGGTTGAATTAGGCCGAAGAACCATTTGTTATCCGAGTCAGACTCATCCTCATTCTTGGTTTCCCAATGTCGGACCTCCATAATATATTCTCCATGCATAAGATGTCTAGCCGGCGGTGGTAAGTGTCCCATATTGGTTAAGGGAATGAGTTGTTGTCTCCTTATATGGTTTTGAGCAATTCTCACCTCAGAGTTATTTTTTGGAATGAGTTAGACCCTTGATCCATATTCTTAATAATAATAGTTAAACGAAGTTGTCGATCATAGTGGCATCAGGCTGTTACTTATAGACTTATTCTACTTCCCCTTGTAGAGTCCTTTTGGAATGTCACACCAGCAGGCCCTAGCACACGTCACAGCGCAGGCAGCATTATCCCAGTCTTACTTACAAACCCAAGCTGAGTATCATTTCTCCTCGCAAGGGACATCAGCTCAAGTATTAGGAATTGAAACGTCGACCGAGCCATCAGAATGTTCTTTACAACCTCAATTAGATGCTGTGCCGTCAGACCAGCAGACCAAGAAAATTGAACTGCCACTGGTTTCTCAATCTGAGGACAAGCCATCTTTTGCTTCTGTCGATAGACCAGCTTGTGATGGTTACAACTGGAGGAAGTATGGACAGAAGATGGTTAAAGCAAGTGAATGTCCTCGGAGCTACTATAAATGCACACATCTCAAGTGTCCTGTCAAGAAGAAGGTCGAGCTATCCATTGATGGTCACATAACTGAGATCACATATAAAGGCCATCACAACCATGAACTTCCTCAACCAAGCAAACGCAGAAGAGATAGTTGTGCTCAGGATGGTTCAGATTGCTCCAAAGCTAAACCTGAAAGCGAAATGCTGAGTGGGACCGAAGTCAACGGCTTAAATGGTGCTCTCCCTGGTCGTTCTGGACAAGTGTCTACTGAAATGGCATCTGGACTTCTTCTCTCTAATGAATGTGATAAAATTGAGGACACTGCAACAGCAGCAGAAGAGGGACATGATGATGAACCAAATGTGAAGAGAATGTAAGCTCTTTTGTCATAAGGAACCTCTTTTTGAAAATGAACAAAGGAAAATGTAATTGAAACGAATATGCATCTGATACAAGTAACCATGATGCAGGAAGACAGCTGTTGAGGCTCCTAATCTCGCTTCATCACATAAAGCAGTATCAGAATCCAAGATTGTTGTGCAGACAAGGAGTGAAGTAGACATTTTGGATGACGGGTTCAAGTGGCGAAAATATGGGCAGAAAGTGGTGAAGGGGAATCATCATCCGAGGTACTTTTACTTACTCTATGTATCTTAACTGTGACCTTTTGAATACATTAGTCGTTCTGCTGCATCCATCTTTGCTTGGACTACCCTTTAGTTGTCTAAAGGAGTGGTGTTTACTTGTGTCCTGCTTTTTGTCCTATGTCCAGGATATTCCACTTGAATAAATCCCTAGGCATTTGGTGAATGCAAAACAAATAATCCAGAAATCTACTAAGTCCAAGTCAAATTCTTGAATGTAGTATTAAGCGCCAATAAATATTCTTGCTCCCTACTCTGGCTAGTGCCTTGTGATTTTGCATTGAGTGATGAGTATCTTTGTTCAGGATAACTTCTCTTGGACATTGTTCCTGCAGTTTCAAGCCGTAAGAAATCTTCTTCTTCAATAAAAATATATAAATTAATTGAAATAGGAAATATTGTATTCTTATGGAAGTTGTAGGAGCAAATCTTTCATCTTGGATTCTATTTTGGTCTATTTTACACGTCATCTTTCATTATGTCTGAGCAAAATATTCTCAGCCTCCTAAAGTATTGCTTTGGACATTAGAGAGAGAGGGGGAGGAGGAGGACGAGGCGTGAATTGGGCCCTGTTCCAAATTAGCTTCTCTCTTCTTTTGCCGCTGCACCTTATTGTTGTTTTGTTTGTCTCAATGAATCCAGTTGGCATCAAGAGAGCCCTCCTAAAGTTGTGGTTTGGACTTTAATGAGAAAAAGGTTAAAAAAAAAAAAAAAGAGGAGAAAGGAATAAGGTCCGTAGTGGACTCTGGTCTCCTTCAAATTACCAGGCTCTTCACATCTCATTTTCTGATACTGGTATGATAGATGACAAAAGAGCGTTGTTCCACTTTAGCTTCTCTTTTCTTTTGCCAATGTCACTTTATTATTGTTTTGTTTGTCCCAAGTTGCTCTTAGAATCTTTCTTCAATGAATCCAGTTGGGATCAAGAGTTCGTAACGAGAAAAGAATTAGAATCCCGTCTGAACAGTTGCTTGTTCTTAAATCTTTTGGAGTATGATTCTCATGTTTACGGCTGAAATATGCGTCTTCTCCCTGTGCTGGTCCTTACTTTTAATTCCTTCTCTTAAGTTGCATGACATTCAGTCTTGGATCTGCATGCAGGAGTTATTATCGCTGCACATATCCTGGATGCAATGTCCGCAAACATGTCGAAAGGGCTTCAGCAGATCCAAAAGCTGTCATAACAACATATGAAGGCAAACACAATCACGATATTCCCATTGCTAGAAACAGAAGTCATAGCACAGCCCAAGATAGTACTCGCCAGTTGAACGAGCAAGACGTTGCAACTTGGAGGCCTTCACTTCATGAAAATGTTGCTTTTCATAACAACAATGAAATACCAGTGTGTAGGCAGCTGAAAGAGGAACAGATTGCAGCATAAGTTGCATTACTACAAGGGAAAGGGTGAAACAAGTATACATTTGCTACTGCCATCAAGATTAAATCTTTATTGAAAACCTCATACTGATTCAATGTATAATGTTTGTAAATCTTATGGCTACTTGCGCAAGATGTCTATATATTGTTAAACAGTTAAAGGTGCTCAAATAGTTTGTTCACAGTAGTTTGAAACTTCTGGAGCTAGCTTCAAAAACTAATGGCCTATGAACTTTTCTGAAAACAGGAATATAGATTTACGAACTTGGAAATATTAGCTGGGATTTAAAAAGTAAGTGGGAATGCATGGCCCCAATTAATACAGTTATTTTACTTCATTGATTAATGAACAACCTGTAGAATTGAGAGCAGTTCTTATTATCAACAACTCAGAAACCCGTAACACGGGGTAGCCAGTTTTCGGACTGATCATTCAGAAATAGTCAGTGTTTGCAAAGTCATTGAAAAATAGTCATTATTTTGCTACCACACGGAAAGTTCCAAAATAATATACTGGAGATCGGTGCCCCTGTGTATGGACTTCCAGCATAGTGCTGGAACTCCAACACGTAGAAAGTTCCAGTATAATATACTCCAATCTCCAGTATATTATGCTGGACCGGTATATTATATTGGAACTCCAGTATATTATTTATACAATATCTCCAGTATAATATATTGGAGTTCCAGTATACTTATGTTGGAACTCCAGTATAATATGCTGGAGTTTCAGTATATTATATTGGAGTATTTTTCCGAATTTTGAATAGTGTTTTCGTCCAAATTATTTTTACATGAAAAATTGCTAAATTTCGATTACTTTTGAGACTGTGGCTATTTTTGAATGATCACTTGTAAATCTGGCTATTTTTGAATTTCTCCCGGGAGGTAGCCCCCCTGCTAAAGCAACTAATAGTCCTTCCCATTTTATACGATTGTGTTTGACCTGACATGGAATTTACAAAATAAAGGAGGACTTGATATATAATTAACGAAATACACATAGGCCAAATTCACTTGAATCATTAAAAATTAAATGAAAGGGGGGGTAAGAGTTTCACATGCCACTTCTCATTTTTTTCATCCTTATAAAAAAAACAGTTTTTATGTTAAATGGGACCCTAAAGCTAAAGTCATCGGGGGTAAAGTAGAATGTTAAGATAAAGTAGTTTCCAAATACATAATTTTTGTTTTGAAATAGATACAAAAAAGTGACATATAATATGAAACCGACTCAGCGGTAACGCAAACAAAAGCATATCTTGAGTATTAGCTGATAAATACAAAGTACCATTAAGAAACTTAATTAATATTCAAACTATATCATTTAATAAGTGTTTAACTATAATAAAAGTCGAATAATGTGTTTACTTCCTATGCCTCCTACTTCGATCCATCAATGAAGAGAGATGATTAAAAAGTATGGAGGGATGAACGGACCTTCCATTATTACTTAGAGGTTCGAAGCGAACCTCACGGAATAGAGGAACTCTTAGTAGGAAACATTTTCACATTTAGTTAGGGCGGATATGAAACCGTTAACAAAAACAAAAAGGAAAAAAAATTGGGAAAAGGATACAGGCAAACCGAGCCGGAAAATCGCACTAAACCGAAAAACCAAACCAAATCGATTAAAAAACCCGACTAGGTTTGGTATTGAGTAAAAAAACTCGAACCAAACCGACATATAAATATGCAATTTTTTATTTATATTTTTAAGACTTTATAATGATTTTTCTTTAGAAAATATAGAAATATTTGAGATCCTCTCATGTATTAACCTTGAAAGCGTAAATTAACGAAAAATTATTGTTAGACGACTAAGAAAATAACTATCATGTGTTACTAAAAAAATTCTTCCATTAGAATATTTTAATAGATCATGTTTGTCAAATTTTTCCATATTTACTAAACATATATTCACTTATCAAAGCTTTATATATAATTTTAATAAAGTAAGATTAATATACATGTAACAAAAAAAATTCGAAACCCCGAAAAACCCGACAAAATCGAACCAATTCAAACCGATATAATTGATTTGGTTTTGATAGAAACCGAACCAACCCGATCCATGTACACCTCTAGGGATACTATAAAAGCTAGTAAAATCCAAAAGGGAAAAGGTCCTATTTTGTCCCTCTATTATGATATATAGTTTATATTGTCCCCGATATATTTTTCGTCCTGATCCAATCTTTAATGAACTGTTTAAAATTGCCCTCAATCCTAATATTCCTCTATTGTGGCATCGCACCCCTTTATTAATTAGCCCATATCAGCTGCCAAGTCATCTAAGTCCCACCCAAGTAATACTCATGTTTTCCAATGATAAAAACATAATTTCTCAAATACAATCATGCAATAAAATCTCTGACATCACTCAATTTCATGCCTTAATGGTCAAAACTATGGCCGTCCAACGGGACGGGCCATCCCGTCCCATCCCGATCCCGTCCTGTCTTGTCTCGCTTCAAGTTAAATGGGATGGGCCAATGTTAAACGGGACACGGGATAGGACGGAACGACCATTTCGTCCCGTTTGTCTCGTCCCGTCCCGCATCCCTTCCCGCCAGATTTTTTTTTAAAAAAC